TCTTCTCGCCAGAGTGTTTGTTATGCGTGAGTATGTGTGAGTATGTGTGTGTGTGTGTGTGTGCATTGCATTAGAGAGAGAGAAACAAAGATAAAACACACACGAGGGTCAAAGCAAACCAGACACTGGGAGTGGCAGACAAAACCCCGCCAAAGCAAACCAGACACCGGGAGTGCCTGACATGACACGTGCGTGCTGATAGACAAAACCCGTGTACAATACCCCAACCTCTCTCTCTCTCTCTCACACACACACACAATCAGCCAAGGCAACGGCGCGGGCCAGGTGTGCACGTACGCGCTTGAGCTCGAGTTCGACGTTGAGGAGAGCAATCTTCGGGTTCTCGTAGTGCTTGGGCTGCATCTCAAAGCCAGCGTAGCTGAATGTCTTCTTGAACGCAACGCCAGCAACAAGCTGCGAATCCTGTGGGCCGAAAAAGATGGAGGAGGGAAACAGCCATAGACACACGCAAGCGAAACACACACACACACACCAAGATGTGTGAGTTTGGGTAAGAGCGGGAGTGATTCAGTGAGTGAGTGGGAGTGGAAGGAGGGGGGCGTTGTGCGGGGAGAAAGAGGCTTCGGAGCGGCCTTGTGCTCCAACATCTTCACCGATGATTGCACAGCCAGTGGCACACAAGACACACACACACACACACACACACACACACACACACACACACACACACGAGCAAGTGCTAACCTCGAGGGCGCCGCCCTGGACCTTCTTGATGCCAATCATGTTGAGCGGGAGGAGGTCATCAAGCAGCATCACGGCGTCCACAACAAGGTTGCTGAAAAACGACTTCTGCCGCGCAACCAGCTGCACCCCACGACAACACACACACACACACACACACACACACACGCACGCACGCACACGTGTACACAATACAAAACAAGAAGTACAGCAACAAAGGTCATGATAGCGAGTTGGGAGGAGATGGTGTCGATGAGCAACAGGACATGGGTGTTGGTTGAGCAAACCATGCATGCAACCAACTGTAGAGAGCATCATTCTGCACGCGATGCCGGGTTGGTCATGTGGCAATTGTGCCGCCACTGGGCGCACCTTTGAGCTGAGGGAGGTGGCGGCGCACTTCTCGAGCATGCTGCGCAGCTCATCCTTGTCACCCTTGTTCACCGTCACAGCCATCTGCACCGCACGCACCACAACAACGAAAGCAGAATAACACACACACACACATGTATCATGCACGGTGGTGCGCGCATCACAACAAAGACAGGTGGTACATGAGCGCGAGAGAGTGTGTGTGGTGTGAGAGAACGTGAGAGCGAATGCGTGCGAGCACGAAACTGGAGGCGTGTTCGCGACTCCTCTGTCGACGCACACACACACACACACACACACACACACACACACACACACACACACACACACAAGAGAGAGAGAGAGAGCGGACGCACCTCGCGGATGTACTTGAGGGCGAGTGCAGTTGCCTGGCGGTAGCTGCGGATGATGACCTGAGCGTGCACGCCGTCCTCAATGAAGGGCTTGGCCTGCTTCAGGAACTCTGATGCCAGCAGCACAACGCTGGTGGTGCCATCGCCAACCTAGGTAAACAAGCACGAGCACGAGGGTGAGAAGGACGAGAACAAGGAAAAACACGACACGACGGCCGAAAGGTGAAAGATTGGTTGTGTCGTCGTTGTGTTGACTGATGAGTCTGCCTCGTGCACCCGATCACACACCACCGAGCACTTGGTTGATGCGCGAAGAGAAACGTTCATTGCACACATCGCCTTGACCACACGCTTGCGCCCATTCTGCACTATTCCACTCCCCACCCCTCACACCGAACTTTGCCACCCATAAACACACACACACACACACACACACACACACACACACACACACAAACACACACACACACATCACATGACACACCTCGGCGTCCTGGGACTTTGCAATCTCGGTCAGGGTGCGAGCAGCAGGGTGAACAATGTCCAGCAGCTTCATGATGGTGGCACCATCATTTGAGATGGTGGCGAGGCTGTCATCGCACAGCACAGCGATGCATGAAAAATACAGGGCGTGAGCCGCGATCCCGCAAAAACAGACAAGGCACATCATGCTGTCATTGGCACGCCCCTGCCATCGGGCAACAACAGGTCGTACTATCCGCTTTAGACATCACAACCACACACACACACACTCAATCGCATACACAGACGCAAAGACGCCACGCGGATGTAGTTTGTACCCGTTGTGGTTGATGATGAGCTTGTCCATGCCACGGGGCCCGAGGGTGGTGCGCACGGCGTCGGCGATGACCTTGCATGCGTGATCGCAGTGTATTGGGGGGGGGGGAACGAAGGAACGAAAGTGGTGGCCAGTGAGCGTGGCATGGCATGGTGGGACAGGGTTCTGTTGAAAGGACCTCGTGTTGACGACCATCACTGGGTGCGAGACGCAGGCAACGACGGCAACCATGTGCCATCACATGGCGCGTGTGCTGGTATGCTATTGTGTGTTGTGCCTCACCTCGCAAGCGTTGATGTTGCTGATGAGTTGGCCACGGCCCTGGCTCGTGTCGGTGCCCTCCCGGAGCAGGATGATGCCCGGTTGCTGCACAGATCAACCGAAGCAAAGGTGAGCGATGTGAGCGATGTGAGCGATGTGTGCGTATGAGGGAGTTGTTGTACACCAGTGAGCGACATGTGGTGAACGAACAACGTCAGTTGGATGATAACGATGCCACGCAGGATACACGGATCCCTCTTTCCACACAAACCTACACAGCACACACAGCATGCACACAGTACACAACACAGAAACGCACCATGAGGGGGCCCTTGTATCCGCGTTCGTGCTGTGCCATGGTGTCTGTCGTTCAGAAGTCGAACAAGAAGAAGAAGAAGAAGAAGGTCGGTCGTCTGTGGTGGTGTTTGTTGGCGGTGGCTGGTTGTTGAGAGCAAAGCGAGCAGCAGATGTGAGGTGGAACGACTCGTGGTGTTGGGAGGTCCAAAAACAGACAGTTCGAGTTGCCAACAATTTTTATTTTTTTATTCTTCCCGCTCCCCCAGCGAAATCTACGCCTCGTGGCAGTGTTCCATGTGGTTAACGGCGCATTAGTGCGAGGAATCGCAGTTATCCACCGAAGAAAACCGGCCCTAACCTCAGGATGCGCATGCTGCATCTTTCCTGCATGAGTAGCAGTAAGACACAGCACAAAAGGTAGCTACACAAAACAGAGCAGCAGTTGGTTGTTGTTGGTTGTTGTTGCTGCCACGAACGAACCAACAGCCAGCCAGCCATCATATCCATCCATCGTTGCGCATCTACGCCCACGACGACGACGAAGCCACACACACAACACACACTGAGTCCTGCGTTTGCTTCTGTCTGCCTACCTCTTCATCTCTGTGTCAGTGTGACGTCCACAGCGCACAGCACACGCCCAGAGCAACACGCTGCACAGCCCCCGTGCACAGTAACAGCAACAGAAACACCAGCAAACCCCCCAACAAGCACAACAAATATGATGTCCATCAAGGCATTGCGAAGCGCTGTTTCGGCGAGCGTTCGCGTGGGCACTGTCGCCCGTGCGCAGCAGGCCCGGGTTGCTTTCCCCCTCATCTCCACAGCCAGGAAGTACCACGAGAATGTGAGCCATCGCCGCCATTGCAACTCGCTTGGGTTTTATCGAACGAGCTCTCTCGTGCGCCCGTGTGTGTGCGTGCGTGTTGTGTGTGTGTGTGTGCGTGCGTGCGTGCGTGTGTGTATTCAACATAGCACTCGAAACTCCAAGCTTGTACCCATGCACGCGTGTGTTTTTTTTGATGTGGATGTGTGTGTGTGCACCTGCGCATCTGCAAGCACTTGCTTGTTTTTCTTTTTCCGTGTCTTTGCTCACAATGCGTTGAACCATGTTTCGCTTTCGCCATTGTTCTTGCAACAACAGGTGCTTGACCATTACGAGAACCCCCGCAACGTGGGATCGCTGGACAAGTCCAAGAAGACTGTCGGTACCGGCGTTGTTGGCGCACCAGCCTGCGGCGACGTCATGAAGCTTCAGGTGAGCAGAATGAGCTGCGTGTTGACCATTGGGAGAGAAGAGAATAGGAATGCGCGAGAAGCGAAACTGTGCACGCCATCATCACCCTTGTTGCTGACACGCACACACGCTGCTTCCCCACGCACGCTGTCGTTTCCGCTCCACGGCAGATTGAGGTGGATGATGAGGGGCGCATTGTGGAGGCTAAGTTCAAGACGTTTGGCTGCGGCTCCGCCATTGCTTCCAGCTCCCTGGCCACAGTCATGCTCAAGGGCAAGACGGTGCGTTTTGATGTGTGTGTGAGCGTGTGTGAGCGTGCGATTTAAATATGTGCGTGCGTGTCTGTGTCTGTATCTGTGTGTACGGTGGCCATTTGGAGCACCTTGGGTGTCATGAGCAAGATGTCCGTGTCATTATGCAATTTCAGCACCGAAGTCACACCACATGCACGTCACCCCTACACCACATCGGTGGCACTCTCTCTCTGTGTGTGCGTGCAGCTGGATGAGGCCATGTCCATCAAGAACACAGACCTCGCTAAGGAGCTGCGGCTACCCCCCGTCAAGCTGCACTGCTCGAGTGAGTCGTCCAACCTACAGCATGCAATGTTGTTTTTGGTTTCTGGACGTGGTTTTTGGCTGTGCCTTTTTTTCACCATCATTTCCCTGGCGTCACATCTACGCATCCTTTTTGCGGTGCACCCCTCCTCACCTCCTAGTGTTGTGTCTCTGCGCCAATCACCACCACCACCACCACCATTGCAGTGCTTGCTGAGGATGCCATCCATGCGGCCATCAAGGATTACACCACCAAGAACGAGGCCCAAGCCACCACAGCCTGATCATCATTCTGTGCAATTTTTACATATTCCCGTCTCTTCTTTTTGCTGTCGCTGACAGCACCTTCCATTTTCCTCCACCACACACACCACCACCACCAACAACACACCCTACCTTGTTCATCATCGACAATGTTCCGCTGGGGTCGCAAGCCAGCCTCCACCGGCGCTGCCTCTGGTGGTGGCAGTGGCAGCACCCGTGAGATCAACCAGGCCACACAGCGCAAGTTTGCGCGTGGCGTTGACTGCAACAGTGAGTTGTTCCCCAACCTCCTCCTTCTTCTTCGCCATGTTTGTGTTTGATGTTTGATGTCTGTGTCCTCTTGTGTTCATTGGGTGCTGTTGTGCAGCACAGCATTCGAGCATCCAGCCTGGCCTTTGCCCGTTGCTCCTTGCTATCCTCTCTTCCTTGCCCCCCCCCCCTTCTTCTTACCGTGTTGTTCGTACGGGCTTCCAATCTAATTGCAAACAAGTACAAACCTCCGCTTCAATAGCGAAAGGCAGTGCACGCACGCAAAGCACACGAACATGCCGACGGTCGCGTGCATATCAGGGTGTGCCGTTGCTGCCGCTCTGCTACGCGCATGCTCACCGTGCCTGCCTTCTGCGTTGTGTCGTGTGCGTGTTGCGTCGCTGATCGGCCAGTGAAAATCCTCATCAGGGGGGAGCGCAAGACAGGCAAGAGCTCCCTCCTCGCACGCCTGCAGAACAAACCCGCCCCACGCGAGTACAAGCAGACGCCCCAAATCGACGTACGTGCCTGTATGTGTGTGTGTGTGACTGTGTGTGTATGTATGTAACTGTGTGCGTGACTGTGTATGTATGTAACTGTGTGTGTGTGTGTGTATGTGTATGTAACTGTCTCTCTCTCTCTCTCTCTCTGTGTCCGCACCACAAGGGAAGCTGGCACCCTCAGTACTGCTTGTCTTACAGCTGTTGCCCGTCGCTTGCGTTGGCCCTTTCTTCCTCTTTCTCAAGGTGGCGAACATCTCGTGGAAGTACAAGTCCTCGCCTGGCATCGTCAAGGTGCGATGGGACTGGTGCATCGTGCAACGCAATCTCTGCTTGCCATAACAGAATGGGTTCTCGCCAACTCAATTAACGCTGGTGCTTGCTTGTGTCGGTGATGCAGGTTGAGTTGTGGGACGTCGTTGACCAAGGCATCCCATCGTCCGTGGCCCTTCCAACTGGCCAGGTTGGTGTCTGTGTGTGTGTGTGTGTGTGTGTGTGTGTGTGTGTGTGTGTGTGTGTGTGTGAGAGAGAGAGAGAGTGTGTGTGTGTGTGTGTGTGTGTCTGTCTGTCTGGTTGGTGTCTGTCTGTCTGTGTGTGTGTGTGTCTGTCTGTCTGTCTGTGGGACATTACATGCTTTGCCAGCATGCAACGTTCCTCCACTCCACTGACACCCGTATGCTCTTGCGTGTGCGTGCTCTGGTGTTAGGTGGCGCCGTGTCTGGACGCGTCGTTCATTGCAGACATTTACAAAGGTACGTGTGCATGGCTCTCAGACTGTGTACGCAACAACTGCAAATCCCGCTGCCTCCTTGCCACATGGCTTGCGTTTATATATTTCCCCTGTATCATGGTGCGTGCGCATATGTGTGTGTGTGTACAGGTGTGCATGGTGTCATCTTCGTGTTTGATGTGGCCAAGAACTGGACGTTCAAGTATGTCGAGCGGGAAATCCTCAGCGTCCCGCCCTCCATTCCCGTTCTCATCCTGGTGAGTATGCCGCCATGTGTGCACGTGTGCAGTGTGTGTGTGTATGTGTGTGTGTGTGTGTGTGCACGTGTGTGTGTGCTGCTCAGCGTTGCTCAATCACCTGCACGTTAACGTTGCCTCTCACCGCATACACGTTATCGTCCTTTGTATCTGCGCGCGTGCAGGCCAACTTCCAAGACGCGGCGACGCCGACGAGC